TTTTGGGCTGTTTTTTGGGCTTGGATGATGAGAAGACCAAAAAAACACAATAATCACATTTTCTCTCCTTTTTTTTTTCTTTCTTCAACTTAACTGGCCTCATAAAATTAAGTATCAACTTAAATTAAATTGGCACTTTTTAAGCATATATTTATCATTAATTGTAAGGTACTTTGACGTAAAAATGCATAAAATTGCACTTATCAGTGTACTGAAATGTTTTCGGATACATTTTAAAAAAACTAATGGTATCAGTTATCAAACCAGTGTTTCTCAATAATCTCGAAAAATAAGCTAGTTATGATTGTGAAACATGAAGCAACAATAAACCAAGAAATACAATATATATATATATATATATGAAAAATAGGATTTGAATAGATAAAAGATGTACACAGACACGTTTTATCCGCTCTAATGTTAAAAGAGAGTGTTCCAAATTATAGGTGAAACATCAAAACATAGTCCAACCATCAAAGGATCGATTTTCTCTGTTTTGATAGGAGATATGTTGCTATTTCGGCCTCCGGATGTAGGAAACAAACGAATCAGTCTCCTTACGAGATACACCACCGTCGGCCACCGATCTCCGAACAATGCCGCCCACTTCCACAGCTCTCTTTCGCATCTCCTCCCCTTCTCTCGAATCCATTAGTCTCCGAATAATATCTTCCACCACCATTGCTGTCACCAACTCGTCTCTACATCCCCAATCCACCACCACTGCCAATCCAATTCTAAGAACCTCCGTGACGAAAAACGCATTTCGTGGCTGATCAGAATGCATCGGCCAAGTGGCCATTGGCTCGCCCATCAATATACTCTCCATAGTCGAGTTCCATCCACAATGACTCATAAAACCACCCGTCGCCGAATGTCCCAAAATCGCCATCTGTGGGGCCCATTCCCGCACCACCAGTCCCTGCCCCTCCACACGCTCTTCGAACCCATTTGGCAACTCGATCATCTTAGCCTCGTCAACGAACACATCCCCCTTGTCCGCGACTCGAGCCACCCACACAAACCTTTGTTGGCTTCTCTCTAGCCCAATTGCTAGCTCTTTAACCTGTTCATCACTAAAGGTCGTTGTGGTTCCAAATGACACATAAATGACCGAACCAGGAGGTTGAAGATCCAGCCATTGCAAACATTTGTGACGTTCTCAGTAACCGTCACAAATGTTTGGTGACCAGAGTTAATCGGGCCCACTGCCCATAGCTTCTTTTTCTTTTTATCATTCTTTTCTTCTTCTTTCTCTAAATATTCGATGTATTCACCTTCGATGGATCTTGATGAATCGAATAACGTTCCAACATGAAACCCATCGTGGCCCTGTTGAAGTTTTACAAATTCTTGAAACTCCGGCGATAAACAGCCGTCTTGAGATGGAAGTCCGTTTAATATCTGCAGGTCTGCCGGAAACTGTTTGCCGGTTCCCTTCCAGGTTGTACAGAAGGAGTCGAAAGCAGAAAGGGCACTGAAGATGTAAGTCTCGACGTTTGATATCTGATTAACGTCTTGGACGACGTACGACATCATGAAGTCATGAACAACGGCGACTCTGCCGGTGGAGCTAGAAAGAGAGAGTACGAGGTTGGTGAATGGGCGGCGGAGATGGAGGGTTGACTCGAAGGCGGGTTGCTGGTGGGAAGGGAACCGATTGGAATGGTGCGGCGGTGGAGAAGTGAAGAGAGGGATCGGAAGTTCATGGAAGTGGATGAGGTTGGAGGCGGTGGAGAGTGGATCGAGGAGGTGGAGGCGTGAACGGAGTTGGCGGATGTGGGTGGTGCTGCTGACGAAGTGGACGGCGATGTTGTAGGTGGATATAAGGCGAGATAGGTATGCGAACTGGTTGAGGTGGCCGTGAGCTACGAACGGCAGCATTACCACCACCACCTCGGTTGCCGGCCGGTGTACGGAATCCATTGTGGGTGATTTGGTGATGGAATGCAAGAGAAATTCAAATAATAATGGAAACAAAAGAAAGGAGACAGTGGATTAGATGAAGAAATTGGAAAACTTATACTGATTAGATTTATTAATACGTTTTTGAGTAAATAAATAATAATAAAAATAAACAAGATGTAAAGAATTTTATAAAGGTAGGTTTATTTGAGAAGCCACAAGTATTTGAAAATTAAAGATGTGATCCTATCTTTTCTTACGGTTAAAATTGGTTAAGAATTGCAGTTTTGACTGGTCAAATAAATTATAGATGAGTAATTTTGTAGCTTTTACGAGTAGGCGGTAAATAAGTGTACATGTAAACTCATAGTTTATATGTGAATCTGTTAATTAGTTCATATATGCATTTGTTTTGCCGCCTATTTATAAAAGTTATAAAACCACTCTCTATCTTTCACATACCATGCAATGAATTTGATGCTTTATAATCAAAGTCATAAATCTTTACCAACTAAAAAACCAAGATCACTTCTCTATTTATTAAATACTTACCGCTTCTAATTAGTAATTAGGGGGTGTTTGAGATTGATTATAAAAACAATTTATTAAGTTATTTCGGTGTGACACCGGTAATAAGCACTTTTAAGTGTTGGATAAACCACTTATACCGGTGTCAAACCGGTAATAAAGAGTTGTTAAAGAAGTTAAACTCTTCTGACTTATAATAAGTTGATAAATGTTTTTATAAAAAAACATAATTTATTTTAAATAATGAATCTCAAACACCGAAAGCTATGGCTGAATTTGTATATTTATTTTATAATATGGTACAAGTTGGATAATAAAATAACATAAAAGATATGTTTACTTAAAAATAAATGTATTTTATTGAATAATATTTTTTTAACACGTCATTAGAGAATTTATATAATCTTTCAAGGTTGGATAATAAATTGCGCAAAATATCATATTACATGGGATGTATCGAATAGTATTAAATTATTTATTTACGGTTAATTTATTATATTCAAATAAATCTATAACAGAGTAAATTGTAAATTTCGTCCATATGATCTATATGAAATTACATTATACGTCTTTAAATCAAAATAATTTATGAAAAACGTCTCTGTAGTTTATATTTTTATGCGTCTTTGGTCCCTTGTCCTAACTCTGTTAAGACAAATCCATTAAACAGGTTTACTTTGAGGGCATTTTACTAGAGAAAGAGACAAGGGGTTTACTGGAGAACAACGACAATGGTTACAAAAATAAAGGGGTAACTGGTGATGAGATTTCTTGATGAGGGGAGATATAATGTTGTGGTCTGATAGATGATGGGGTAGGAGCAAATCAAAGTTTGATTTTAACTATGGGGGAGGAGCAGATCAAGGTTTGATTTTAACGGGGGAAAGGAGCAGATTAAGGTTTGATGCGGGGGGAGCAGATCAAATCTTTAAAGGTTTCCTATGTGGTCGGAGATGCAGATTCAAGGGAGTGTTGCCTCTGTGTTGCCGAAGTGAAAGAGGGTCACGGTGGTTGTATCCTTGGTGGGGTGTGTTGGATCTACGTTTCGTCGGATACGAGGTAAGGAACGAGGCGGTGATCGTCGTTTATCTTCTGTAGCTGTAATAGGTTGAGGAGCAGTGGCCAGAAATGTGAAGGGGGTCATTGTGAGTAGCGGAGATGGAAGATTTTGGGGGAGGCCAGATATGAATAACCCGTGGCCGGAGAAATGAGGAAGATGATGTAGTTTACCGTTCACGTGAGAAAAAAAAAGAAAAGAAATATGAGTAAAATGACTAACATGTCCCACCCAGTTAACCTACTTAAGAGAATCATCTAATGGTGTTAGAATAAAGGGATCAAAGATGTGTGAAATTGTAAACCATAGGGACGTTTTTCAAAATTATTTTAATTTAGGGACACACAATATATTTTAATAAACCACAAGGACGAAATGTGTAACTTACTCTAAAATTTAAGACTAAATTGTGAAGTATATATCGGTGAGTCATTTGGACTTTGGGAGTAGTAATTAATAAGACACTAGCACAAGAAGTCATAAATTGTGGTAATAATAGAATCCTTAAGTATATAAGAATAAACTATAAAATGTCCCTTCAAAAAGCTTTATAATAGGTTTATAGGACGCTTTAGTCGTTTTAACAAGTATTTTAAGACGTTTTTAAAGTAAATTATCATATTAACTATTTTATAATAAGTGTCCTATAAACTCATATTTTCACAAGACAATTGTGTTTACATGACACTTTTTTAAAATAATGTTGTATTGGGATAGCTCCCTTTACATTCAGATTGAATCAGTTGTGTTGAATTAGAGTGTCGTGCACGAATGTGTGCCAGATACTTGGCTAATATGTATAGTGTCAAGTGCACAAATCAAACAATGACAAATATATACCGGAATTAGCCTAATAAATAAGTGGACTACTGGATGGTGTTTTCTTTGGGTGTGAGATTTAAACCTATGATTATTATGATAAAGGAAAATAAAAGGTTTTACATCAACAATAATTGTGAAACAAAGAAAACATGCTCAAATCGAAGGACCACCTTAAAGTTGTTATCACTCCCTGCTGATGAAGGAAATGAAGGAATCAATCTCCTTACGACATACGCCACCATCGGTCACTGATCTCCGAACGGAATCCGCCAGTTCTGCCGTCCTCTTCCGCATCTCCTCCCCTTCCCTCGAATCAATTAGTCTTCGAATCAAATCCTCCACTACCACCGAAGTCACCAACTCGTCTTTGTGTTCCCAGTCGTGCACCATCAATCCAATTCTAAGAACATCCGTGATTAAAAACGCATTCCATGGTTGATCAGAATGSATYGGCCAMGTGATCATTGGYACRCCRGTTGATATACTCTCYRTGCTCGAGTTCCACCCACAATGACTCATGAACCCACCCGTCGCTAAATGTCCCAAAATCTCCAATTGTGGTGCCCATCCGCGAACCACCAATCCCCGCCCTTCCACCGCCACTTCAAACCCATCAGGAAATTCCGCCATCTTAGCCTCGTCACCGAACACATCCCCTTTGTCCGCGGCTCGAGCCACCCACACAAACCTTTGCTGGCTTCTCTCTAGCCCGATTGCCAGCTCTTTCATTTGTTCGTCGCTAAAGGTGGTTGTGGTCCCAAAAGAAACATAAACGACGGAATTAGGAGGCTGCAAGTCCAGCCACTGCAAGCATTTGTGACGGTTTTCTGAAACCATAGCTAATGGTTTGTTAGCATGGTTGAACGGTCCGATTGCCCAAACCTTCTTGGACCCTTTGAGCTCTTCTCTCTCTAAATATTCAAGATATTCACCTTCAATGGCTCTTGATGAATCGAACAACTCTCCGACGTGAGAAGTCACATGTGGGTATTGAAGATCCACCAGTTCCATAAACTCCGGCGAGAAAGCTCCATCACCGGACGGGATTCGTTTCATAACTTCTGAGTCCACCGAAAAAGGTCTTCCACATCTCTCCCACTCTATCCAGAAGGTGGCGCATGCAGAGAGGGGATTGAAGATGTAAGTGTCGACGTTTGGAATATTGTGGACGTCTTGGAGGACGTACGACATCAGAAAGTCATGGACGACGGCGACTCTTCTGGTGGTGGCGGAGAGAGAAAGTATGAGGTCGGCGACTGGGCGGCGGAGATGGAGGGTTGAGTTGAAAGCGGGTTGTAGGTGGCAAGGAAAGCGTTTGGAATGATCGGGAAGAGGCGAAGTGAAGGGAGGAGTTGGGAATCCATGGAAGTGGATGGGGGTGGAGTCGTGGTGGCGTGAACGGAGTTGGCGGATGTGGATGGTGGTATTGACGAAGTGGACAGGGATGTTATAGGAGGATATAAGGTGGGAGAGGTGGAGGAGTTGGTTGAGATGGCCATGAGCTACGAACGGCACCATCACCACCACCACCTCCGCCGCCGGCCACTGTATCGTACCATTTTGCTCGTGGCTGCCCATTTTTGAGATATGATTCATGACGAGCTTCATTGAGATATATATACATATATAAATAATTTGACGGAAATAAGGTTAATTAGTTAAGGGTGAATTATACTGACCCATCCCTTGTCTACTTCCTCCTAAGTCCTACCCCATCTTAACTGGCCACCATATGCAGATCAGACCTCCCTCTGTGGCAGTGACCAACAAGCACCATGAGCATCTCACGCTCCACCTGCAACTGTTATCTTCTCCAATAAGCCCTGTGAACATTTCTAGTCATCGTGGTTCATTTAGGGTTTGTTTTTAATGTTGTGACCGTCAAGATCGAAGCTCCCTCTAGGTTTGATTTTGGATCTCGTTTAGATTATGAAATTAGGGTTTTGATTATGCATATGGGTAATGGGGTGTGTTCAGAATTCATGATGGTATGCATCTGCTTTAAAATGGCCATCATTTGTTGACTCACATTTCCATCATTTTGTTTTTGACAAAATCAAGAGTTGCAGTGACCATTAAACTTAAACACTCAACATCCACGTCATGATCAAAATCTTATCCCTAAAATTTATTTAACAAAAAGCGTTGGTTTCATATTTCTCAATGGGGAGTGATAATGGCACCCCTAACAGGGGTGTTGATTGTTTGGAAGTTATGCATCACTAAAATCTATAAACATTAAATTAATTTAATAATATATTTAATATATAATTATCATTATTATTTAATATATATATATATATATATATATATATATATTCTTCACTTATATTTTATAGATATTGTATA